TGAGAAAACTTGAGAAATTAGAAGCACAGTAAGATGCCACCTGATACCTGACTTTTGTGATTTTCTTCACATGCATTTTGCATTTTTATCATTGATGCATGCATCTCTCATCCAGTTAAATGATGCCTCAGCAGCACGGAAATATACAAAATTGCATATTAACTACTGCCTGGTTAAGATAAGTGTGGTTAAATATTTATATTCTGTTTACTAAAACACGAAATTAGTAAATTAAAATTAAGTTAATCATATCAGAAGAGTGTTTTTCATTGTGCTTGGAGGTATGGGAAAACGTTTCCCATTGTAGTTTACCACAAGAGAACACAAGCCAGAGCAAAACAACACTGCCCTTACATGCCTTATAACTGTACCAAAACCAGATGTCCACTACTAAATTAATCTGAAAGAAAATGCATATATGCATTATGTGGTGTTATATATGCATGTATATATAACACCACAAATGTCCACATAGTGAGCTGAACTTTGCTAATCAGCAGTCATTTGCATCAAATTGTTTGCCACATTTGTGCACTTAAGTTTCACTGGACTATGTGAGCAACGTGCTCATAATGTAGTGAACTGCTAATGGTTAAGACTGGATTATATTTTCTCAAATTTTTTTTTTTTTTTTTTTGTCCCTTTGTTTCCTCAGACCTCCCACAACAACATGGTTGTAAGGAAGAGAAGGGTCTGGACGATCAAGAAAGGACCCAGGAGGACCCAGCGCTTCCACAGATTAAAGAGGAACCAGAGGATCTTAGCAGCAGTCTGGAGGTAGATCGGATTGTACAAAAGCAGGATGCTGATGCCTTTATAGTGACTGCTACTTATGAGGAAAGTGAACCAGAACCAAATGTGACCAACTCCTTTCTCATAACTCTCCTGACTCACAGAGACGAGATCAGGAAGAAGGCGAGGATGTGGACTCAGGATCGGCAAGAAATGCAGAGCTGAAGAAAAGGAATCATCACAGAGATGGAAGTCACAGTACCATAGTAGACATCTCTTCAGTGTCAGATAGTTACTGTAAAGCTAACACAAGTAAAAAGTCTGTAAAATGTGGAACTTGTGGAAAAACCTTGCCGTTTAAATCCAGTCTGACTACACAGCACACAGAGGAGAAGCCTTATTTATGTAGCACCTGTGGAAAAGGATTCGGTTACAAATCACATTTGAAACGTCACCAAAGAATTCACACAGGCGAGAAGCCTTATACTTGTACAACCTGTGGAAAAAGTTTCATTCAGATGCCCCAACTGAAAACTCACATGAGGATCCACTCAGGTGAGAAGCCTTATTGTTGTAGTGTCTGTGGAAACAAATTCAGTTTCTCATCTGCATTCAAAGTTCACATGAGAATTCACACTGGTGAGAAACCGTATTCTTGCAGTACTTGTGGGAAATGTTTTAGAGATTTAAAATCATTCAAAACTCACACTAGAATTCACACAGGTGAAAAGCCATATTCTTGTAGCATCTGTGGAAAAACATTCAGGGACTTATCAGGATTCCGAAAACACACACGAATTCACACAGGTGAGAAGCCATATGTTTGCACCATATGTGAGAGAAGCTTCAGTCAAATGATAAACTTGAAAACTCACATGAAAATTCACACAGGTGAGAAGCCATATTCTTGTAGCATCTGTGGAAAAACATTCAGGGACTTATCAGGATTCCGAAAACACACACGAATTCACACAGGTGAGAAGCCATTATCGCCTGGCCCCCGTGGCAAAAGATATAGATACTCATTTGGATTGAAAGCACAGATGAGAATTCACACGGGCGAGAAGTCACATTTTTGTAGCACATGTGGGAAAACATTCAAGCAGAAAACACAGTTAAAAAGACACATGAGAAATCATGCTGGTTGAAAATGTCATCCTTTAGATTTTTAGCACTGTGTTCATAGCACAGCCTGCACCGGTGAGACGCCAAATCAGTGCAACACCTGTGAGGAAAAAATGATCTCATATATTCTAATACTGGCTTACTCTTTTAGGAATTGTAGGGAAAGCCTTTTGTTTGTTTGTTTTTTAAATCTAAAAATGATATT